CCCTGGTGGGGTGACACTGTCCCCTCCCTACAGGACACTCCCCCAAAATATTCGTGGGGACCTTTTGTGTCTATTGCTGGTTGCTGATTCCTGCTGGGGACCTGAGGGCCCCTCTGCAATCCCATCCATGGGGCACAATCTGCTCTGCAGAGCTTGACTCACTGCAGACTTTGCAGGGAAATCTGTGCTGGCAGCTGCATCCTGAGCCTAAGGGCAGTTTGTATCCCTGAGTGCTGATCCATCCTGGAGACCCAAGGGGTCCTCTGCCATTCCATCCATGCAGCAGGAGTCACCCTGCTGCTTTTAACTACCTGCAGAGGAACAAGTGTCATCTCTCTGTTTGGGAGAAGCCAGATGCTGCCCCTGGGCCATCAGAAGTGGTGCTGAAACCTCTTTCAACCCATCCCCGGGTGCAGTTTTCTCATCCCCTCACCGAGTGCCCGCTTCCCCAGCCGGCACTGACCAACCAGGGCGTTTGGCACATGTGGTTTGGTGGTTTGGAGAAACAGCCCCGGGCTGGCAGGCAGATAAGGTGATATGGTTTGAAGCTGGCTCCCTGCCAAGTCTCCAAACCTTACCACCAGAAGTCTGCCCCCCCCCAAAACCTCAGGGAGAAGAGGGACAAAAACAACCAGCTAAGAAAACCCGAAACGAGAGAGACAGCTAAAGTGATATATATAAATATATTTACACTTATGTTACAATTGAAATATATACAATTTAAAATATATACAATTTCACAAGGGAAGGGGAAGGGGGAAGGGAAAGGGAACAAAACCAAAATAATATATATATATATATATCCCACTCAGTAGCCCGAGATCTAGTAAGTAAAGAGTTAGCAAAGAAATATCCCACCACTCTCCTTGGGACAACCAAGAGTCTCTCCGGGACAATCGCCGGCAACCTCCGCCTCCCAAGGTCAACAAGGCCTTACCAGACCTTGCTCCCCAACACGGCAGACTCAACAGCAGGGAACCTGCACCTCCAAGCCACCAGAAGGAAAGAGGGCGAAGGCCTCTCCTCCTTTCTTCTTATAGTCTGGCTTATGTAAAAATCATAGGGAATACTGGGTAGATCTGGACCCTTCCTTGGTTACAAACTGGTCACCAAGGAAGGCCTAGACCAAACCACCACATTCTCCACCCCTTATTCCATACTATTTTTACGTAACACCTATGTCTCACGTTCGCCTACATCCCGCGCACATATATACACATATACATATATAGTCCTTGTTGGTCTCTCAGCACAGTTGTCTCGTTGTTGGAAATCAATACTGACATCAGTTCAGTTCAGTCCAGATCTTTGGTCTCCGCAGTCACAATTGCAGTTCTGATTTATGGCTGTTTCATCATTCTGGGCTGTCTCATCACTGGATATCAGCATCAGCTTAGTTCAGGTCTCTCTCTCTCCCATCTGGTGACTGACTTCCTGTAAAAACACAACTCAGGACATACAATTAGTTTTTCCCCAAGGCTAAATTTCCTTGGGGCACGCATTGGATCACTCCATCCTTCCTCATTATCCACCATGTATGTCCTGGCCCTTGAGCAAAGACAATCCCACGAATGGGTTTGTCTTGACCTGAGGCAGGGGTAACCCAAACAACTTTCCCTAGCATTCCCCTCAAATGGATTGCTGGAACTTTATCTCCATCTTTCAGCCCAGCCTCGGGTGCAGTTTTCTCATCCCCTCACCGAGTGCCTGCTTCCCCAGCCGGCACTGACCAACCAGGGCATTTGGTACACTTGGTTTTGTGGTTTGGAGAAACAGCCCCGGGCTGGCAGGGGGCCAGATAAGCTCGAGGAACAGCCCTGGCGAGGTGCCTGCACTGTCGGGGGGCCAGGGGATTGCTGCTCCACGGAACCGGCTGGAGCTCTGGGTGACCCTGATCTGAAGGGCGTGTGACCTGTGGATGAATCCAGCATGGAGCAGAGACCCCCCTGCAGCCTGGGAGGAGCCCGCGCCGGAGCAGGGGATGCCCAAAGGAGGCTGAGAGCCCATGGGAAGCCCCTGTAGAGTCCTGGGAGCAAAGCCCTGATTTCCAGGGCTTTCCCTGCCGCAGTTTATTTTTGGGAGAGTTTTTTTGGTCTGCTCTTCATATTTTGGAGTATTTTTTAGCTGAATCTCAACTTTTTGCAGTTTGGGTAGGCAGGGGTCTTCCTACTGTTTCTGAAGGGTTTTTTGCCTGAATCTTGTTGGTTTGGGTTTTTCTGGGCTGAATCTTGGTTTTTTAGAGGGTTTTATGGGCACAGGATGCCCTTGTTTCCCCACCTCCCATCAGGATATGTCCTTCCCAAAGCTTGGGCGGATGGAGGAGGAGGCTGTGAGGAAGAGGAAGATGCCTTGGGCCCCCCAGGCAGGTGAGGAGGAAGTCAGTGGCCCTTTGGGCGGGTGTTGTGCTGGCTCTGTCAGCCGAGCATGGCCCCGGCTGCAGGACAACCCCGCTGCCGCCGCCGTCCTGCCGGGGCCGGAGTTGGGGGGATGTCCTTGGCCTTCCCTGTGGGCCGGAGGCAAATCCCCTCCCTGTCCTTCTTGCTTCCTGCCCCAGGCCCCGAGCTGAGGCCGGAGAGCCCGGAGGACAAATCCCCCCGTGAGACCCTGGTGGGAGAGGCCGTTTTGAAGGGCTCCTCGGCGAGGGAAGGCAGCGGGGAGGAAAAGGGCCGGAGATCCCCCCGCAAGAGGGGCTCCAAAGCCAGCCCAGGGTGCTCTGAGGAGGAAAGAGCCAGCCTGTGCCGGGAAGGCGACCAGAGCTTGAGCTGCAGCTCTGACCTGGTGGTCCCTGAGCAGCCTCCCAACACGGAAAAACCCTTCAGGTGCTTGGAATGTGGGAAGAGCTTCAGGATGAGCACCAACCTGATCCGACACCAGCACATCCACACTGGGGAACAGCCCTACATGTGTAGGGAATGTGGGAAGAGCTTCAGGGACAGCTCCACGCTCCGCAGACACCAGATGATCCACACTGGAGAACGACCCTACACGTGTGGGGAATGTAGGAAGAGTTTCAGTGACAGCTCTACCCTCCGCACCCACCGTCACATCCACACTGGGGAACGGCCCTACACGTGTGGGGAATGTGGGAAGAGCTTCAGTGACAGCTCTACCCTTTGCAAACACCATCGCATCCACACTGGGGAACAGCCCTACACGTGTGGGGAATGTGGGAAGAGCTTCAGGCAGAGCTCCAACCTCCGCACCCACCATCGCATCCACACCGGGGAACGGCCCTACACGTGTGGGGAATGTGGGAAGAGCTTCAGCCAGAGCTGCAGCCTCCGCACCCACCAGTACATCCACACCAAGGAATGGCCTTACAAGTGCTTGGAATGTGGGAAGAAGTTTAGGACCAGCTCATATCTCCTCAGACATGAGCAGACACACATGGATGAGAGGCCTTTCTGCTGCACCAACTGTGGGAAGAGCTTCAATGAGAACTCCAGTCTTGTCACCCACCGGCGCATCCACACTGGGGAACGACCCTACACGTGTGGGCAGTGTGGGAAGAGCTTCAGCCAGAGCTCCAACCTCCACACCCACCAGCTCATCCACACCGGGGAACGGCCCTACAAGTGCTTGGAATGTGGGAAGAGGTTTCAGACCAGTGGGAATCTCCTCCTGCACCAGCGGACGCACACGGATGAGAGGCCCTTCCGCTGCACCGACTGTGGGAAGGGCTTCAAACTGAACTCCCACCTCGTCACCCACCGGCGCATCCACACCGGGGAGAGGCCCTACAAGTGTGGGGAGTGCGGGAAGAGCTTCCCCCACAGCTCCGCCTTGACCAGACACCAACAGACCCACCGGTAAGGGAAGCTCTTCCAGTGCCCCGACTGAGGGAAGAGCTTCGGCCGCTGCTTCCACCCCTAATGAAGCCCCTGATGGTGATGCAACCCCTGGAGTCCAGTGACTGTCACTCCATCCCTTTCGACCAGAAAGGGCCAGGCCCCTTTCACCAACAGAACCCTTCTTGGTGGGATGTGTGGAGATTCCTGCCTAGCTGATGACCCTCCCAAGGTCACTCCTGGAGGTTGAGAGCAGAGATCTCCCCAAGAGCCTTGCATCCTTCTCTAATTAAAAATTATTGGGTTTTGCCAGGTCTAGTAGAATTGCTTCAACAATTGCTTGAGTACCATCCTGTCTTATCCTGTACTCCTGGTAGTTTTAGTATTTCTATTGTGCAGTAAATAGTTCTGATGAAGATCTTTTGTCAGATCATTTGTAATCCTAAATAAATTCCTTTCTATTAATAGATCTGATTTGCCATCATTAAAACCTGGGGGACAAAAGTGGTTCAGTCACACCTGTCTAATTTCTCTAAACTGAAACTGTTGGCATAATCCAAGGCTGAGATTGGATCCAGCAGCCCCCAGCACCCCACAGGAAGTTGAGAGCTCAGGGGCCCCCCCCACCTTTCCCAGACCCCCCTGTGCCCAAAGACCTCCATGGGACCATCGGACCCACCAGACCACCCCCTTTTTTTCACCGTTCTCCCTGTTCCTCCCACTTTCCCATTGTCCCCTCAATACCCCATTTCCCTCCCAAATAATTTAGGGGTCCTAACCCCCACTTTTTGCCCCCTCTTCTGTGGGCACTGAAGGAGAAAATGAGGCTGCACACGTAGAGTTCCACTTTGGGATTTGTCTGCTGACACTTTTCCATGTCCCCTTTTATTCCTTTTCTCTCATGCGCAGCACCTGCTGTTCGTCTTTTAGTCTACCAGAATTCCCAGCATTGCCCCAAAGCAGTGCCCTGATCCCACACATTCCCTTCCCCTCATGTGCTGCCTTTGTTCAGCCACCAGAGAAAAACACAGGCTACCATGCCAACCACGTTCCAAGTGGTTTTCCACTTTGGCAAACAGCACTCTCTTGATGGAAAGCACCAGTCAAGGCCAAAACCCTCCTTGTTTATCCACATTAACTGAATGCAGCTGCTGCTCCCTAACTTGTTCCAACAAAAATTCTCAGGGTTCTTTTGCGTCCAGGAGGCCTCACCTGTCACAATGTACCCTTAATTCCATGAGTTTCTGCAGTGTCCCAGGGTTCCTTTTGTTCCATGGGTACCTGCAGTGTCACAATGGGCCCTGAATTCCAGGAGTTTTCCCAGGGTGACAGTGCTGCCTTGAGTCCATGAGATTCTGCAGTGTCTCAGGGCTCCTTTGGTTCCAGAAGGTCCTGCAGTGTCCCAATGGTCCTTGGTTCCATGAGGTTCCACCATGTCCTTGCTGGAACATGTGTGACTGTAATGCTGCCCCACCTGCAGAGCTGCCTCCAGCTCTGGGCTCCAGCACAGGAAGGACATGGACCTGTTGGAGCGAGTCGAGAGGGGAGCAACAAGAGGATCAGAGGGATGGGAGCAGCTCTGCTGTGAGGAAAGGCTGAGAATTGGGATTGTTGAGGCTGGAGAAGAGAAGGCTTTCGAGTGACCTGATAGTGGCCTTCCAGTGCTTACTTTCAGGGAGCCAACAAGAAAGATGGAGAGAGACTTTGGACAAGGGCCTGGAGTGACAGGACAAGGGGCAGTGGCTTCACACTGAGAAAGGGAAGGGTTCCAGGAGATAGTGGGAAAGAATTCTTTCTTATGAAGGTGTTGAGATGCTCTTGAAGGCCCTTCCCAACCCAAAGCATTCCATGATTGTGGGACTGGTGGGTGAGATGATGGTCAGAGCTGTCTGGGGCACAGGGACCCAAAATGAGGGAGTTTTCCATTGTGGGGGAAGGAAGGAGGGGGCAGCAGAACTGACCCCTTGGACACCTGGCAGGCAGGCTTTGGCTGGAAGCTGCTGATGGGGAGCTGAGTGAAGCCCCCACAATGCAGGAGGAAATGGTCAGTGACCTGCTCTGCCAGTGAGACCCCCCCAGGTGCTTGGACCCACATGGGATGCACCCAAGGGTCCTGAGGGAGCTGGAGAAAGAGCTGGCCAAGCCACTCTCACTCATTCCCCAGCAGTGCTGCACAACTGCACAAGTCCCAGCTGACTGGCAACAAGCACATGGGATGCCCATCCCCAGGAAGGACCAAAAGGAGCATCTGGGCAACTCCTGGCCTGTCCCATTGACCTCAGGACCAGGGAAGTTCATGCAGCAGATCCTCCTCAGTGCCATCCCATGGCAGGGGCAGGACAACCAGGGGATCAGGCCCAGCCAGCGTGGGGTTGGGAAAGGCAGGTCCTGCCTGACCAACCTCATCTCCTTCTCTGACAAAGGACCCGCTCAGCAGCTGAGGGAAATCCTGGGGATGTGTCTCTGTGGAATTCCAGAAAGCCTTTGGCCCCATCTCCCCCAGCAGCTCCTGCACAAAGTGGCTGCTCATGGCTTGCCCAGGGAACTGTTTGCTGGGTGACAAAGTGGCTGATGGCCCAAGGAGTGGTGGGGAATGGAGGGAAATCCAGGTGGGACCGGTCACTCGTGGGGTTCCCAAGGGCTCAGGGTTGGGGCTGCTCCTATTTAACATCGTTCTTGATGATCTGGGCCAGGGGATCGAGTGCCCCCTCAGGAAAGTTGTGGACAACACCACGTTGGTTGTGATTGTGGATGTACTGGAGGGCAGGAAGGCTCTGCAGAGGGATCAGGACAGGCTGGATGAAGAAGGCCGTGTCAGGTCCTGCCCTTGGGTCCCAACAACCGCCTGGAACACTCCAGGCTGGGGGCAGAGGGACTGGAGAGCTGCTCAGCAGGAAGGGACTTGGGGGTGCTGCTTGACAGCAACTGGATATGAGGCAGAGTGTGCCCAGGGGGGCAAGAAGGCCAAGGGGATCCTGGTCTTTGTGGAGAAGAGTGTGGCCAGCAGGAGCAGAGAACTGATTGCCCCTCTGTGCTGGGCACTGCTGAGGCCCCACCTGGAGTGCTGTGTCCAGTTCTGGCCCCTCAGTGCAAAAAGGCCCTTGAGGGGCTGGAGCGTGTCCAGAGAAGGGAACGGAGCTGGGGAAGGCTCTGGAAAACATGTCTGCTGAGGGACGGCTGAGGGAACTGGGCTTGTTGAGTGTGGAGAAGGGGAGGCTCAGGGGGGACCTCACTGCTCTCTGCAATGACCTGAAAGGAGGTTTTAGTGGAGTGGGGGTTGGTCTCTTCTGCAAAACCTTTAGTGACAGGAAGAGAGGAAACGGCCTTAAATTGCATCAGGCGAGGCTCAGATTAGTTATTAAAAAAAACCCCTTTTCACTGAGAGAGCGTTCAGGCATTGGAAGAAGTAGCCAAGGGAGGTGATGGAGTCTCTGGAAGTGTTCAGGTGTGTGGTGAGTTGACCTTGGCTGGACACCAAGTGCCCTCCCAGCCGCTCTATCACTCCCCTTCCCAGCAGGACAGGGGAGAGAGTAAGGTGGAAAAAAAAATAGTGTGTTGAGATAAGGCAGTTTATTTAAAGCAAAAGATAGTAGGGTTTGTTCTCTGCTTCCCATGAGCAGCCATGGTCGGCCACTCCCGAGGAGCAGGGCTTGGGGACGCAGGACGGTTCCTCAGCAGGCAGCCATTAGACAATGAATGCCCCCCTCCTGCTCCGGGCCTCAGCTTTTAGAGCTGAGCTGACCTCCCATGGTCTGCAATGTCCCTTGGGTCAGTTGGGCTCAGCTGGCCTACTTGGGTTCCCTCCCAGGGTCTTGCCCTCAGCTAAGGAAGGAATGTCCCAGTGGTGGTGCTGTGCTCAGCAGTGGCCAAAACACTGGGGTGTTCTCAACACCCTTCCAGCTGCCAATGCCAAGCCCAGCCCTGGGAGGGCTGCTGTGGGGAACTGAACTGCAGCTCAGCCAGACCCAACCCAAATATCAATGGCACATATTCTCTAGAATCCATCCTTAGGTGTTGTATGATAGATCTATAAGATATTACAAATAATAAGCAATAATAAGGCAAGTGTCCTCCTTAGGGACACCCCCTCCCAAAAAACTACTGCCTGGGTTTGTTGCCTGGGGGTCTCTGCAGCAGCAAGCACAGCCCCACACTGACTGCTCTGGGCTGTGCAGGCATTTGTGGTTCTGCCTGTCTCACACACACCCCCAACCTTGGGATGGATCTGGATGTCACTGGATGTGATGTCACAGGGGAGATGTGATGTCATATGATGGATGTGACATAACAGAGGAGCCTTGATGTCCCAACAAGGATGTGATATCACAAGGTATATGTGATGTCACAACAAGGATGTGATGTCACAGAGGGGGTGTGATGTCACAGGGACGATATGATATCAGAGGAAAGATGTGATGTCACAGGAAGGATGTGGTGTTACAGGGCAGCTGTGATGTCACGGGAGGTGTGATGTCATAGGGAAGATGTGACGTCGGGGTGGTGTGAATTCATATTATGGATGTGACATCATGGAGGAACCTTGATGTTACAACAAGGATGTGCTATCACAGGGAGCTGTTATGTCAGATGGGAGGACATGATGTCACAGAAAAGATGTGATGTCACAGGGATAAATGAAATCACAGGAGAGGCGTGATGTCATATGATGTGATGTCATAGAGGAGATGTGATGTCACAGGAAGGATGCGATGTCATGGGGATGATGTGATGTCACAGGGAGGTCATGATGTCACAAGGGAGATGTAATGTCATATGACATGTGATGTCATAGGAGAGATGTGATGTCACAGTGGAGGTGTGATGTCACAGGAAGGATTGATGTCACAGGGGAGCTGTTATGTCACAGGGAGGATATGATGTCACAGGGGAGGATGTGACATCACAGGGATTTTATGGTATCACGGGTGAGGTGTGATGTCATATGATGGTTGTGATGTCATAGGAGAGATATGATGTCACAGTGGAGGTGTGATGTCATAGGGGAGTTGTGATGTCATGAGGAGGAGAGGACTACACATCACAGGGATTATAAGAAATCACAGGAGATGTGTGATGTCATATGATTGATGTTACGTCATAGGAGATATGTGATGTCACAGGAGAGCTATGATGTCACAGTAGAGCTCTGATGTCACAGGGGAGGATGCGACATCACAGGGATTATATGGTATCACAGGAGAGATGTGATGTCATATGATGGATGTGATGTCATAGGGGAAATGTGATGTCATAGGGCAGGTGTAGTGTCACTGGAAGGCTGTGATGTTACGGGGATCATCTGATGTTATAGAGGAGTGACAAACTACCCCCTAGCCTTGCTCCAGCTAAAGCCGTGGAATTTGTCTTTGTTTTCCTTAGGTTCAAGGTCAGGCTGTTTTATTTCCAGGGATGTCTAGAAATGAGTTAAGGGGAGCTCAGATCTTTTGGTGAGGAAGGACTTGTTTACTCTGGAGCATTTGAACTCAGCCTTTGTTCCTGGTTTCTTCCCACTGTTTCAGAGCAGTTCATTTCCCAGGGTGAAAGCTCTGATTCCCCAGCACAGTCAGGTTCTCCTGAGCTCAGGATGTTTCACTGGTCTCATTTTTCTCCGGTATTAATTCTGTGCCAAATTCTTGCTTCCTAGGTCAGTGAAATGTTAGAAGATGGAGAATCCCAACTTGATCTTGGACAGAACACTTGTAGACTTCTTTATGATATTGAATTCTTCCCTAATAGTTCTGGATGACAGGACACCTGTGTGGAAAGTCCCTTGTCTGGTTTTCAGGACTTAAAAGAGATGCTTTTCTGATGTTGGTATTTATTGGAGTGTTATTTATTCAACTGTGAGGGTTGAATTGAGTGTTCCTTGCACCTTTAAAAAGTGCAACCCCTTTAATCTATTGTTTTAAAAACCACTCATTAGATGTCAGACGACATAAAGAGAGCACGTAGAGATAACCCTGATGTAAGTGATGGTTCCAGTCATCCCGTGTATGGATCAAAGATTTCCAAGGCTTTGTTCCAAGGCCACTGCCCCGCCCCCCACCCTCTGCCTGCTGCCCCCGCACCCCTGGCACCTGATTGGCCGCCGCCCCACCAATGGACCGTCCCGGGGGATGCAAATGTCCCACCCTGCTGCATATTCATGACTGTGGGCGGAGCTTTGAGCCCTTGGTCCCCGCCCGCCGCCGCTGCGCCCGGAGCACACCCATGTGAAGTGCGCGGGGTCGGCCACGGGAACTTTGCTTTTCCCCACGGGGTGCACGGAGGATTTGTCGCTGGGTGTACGTGGACTCGGGAGAACTTTGCCTGCCGGAGTCACTCTCCCTGCACCACCAGGAAGAGCAGGTACCACATGGCCCCGGCCGCAGCGGCGCAGAGGCTACTCGGGAGGTGACAGTGTGCTAGAGGGAGATGCCCACTCGCTGTCCTTACTGCCTGCACAGCGCAGGGCTGGGGGAATTGAACCAGGCAGGAAAAGTGAATGGCGGCCATCGCATGGTGCTGAAATGAGACGAGAAGTAGCAAACAACCTGGCTGGCAGGAGCACAGTTTGGGAAGGGGCACAGGGAAAACCCACTGTGATGTTCTGGGGTAAATAACAGAAAATAAACAGAGGAGGGTCCCCTTTCAGATATGGTTTATAGATCAGTGCACTGTGCATAGTGTAAGATAGCTTCAGAAATGTAAGAATGCAGTTTCTACAGCTTTTACTACAGTGACACGTTTTTTATAAAATACATAAAGAGATGATAAGTTGGGTGTTAGGTTGGGGTTTTTTTGGTTGTTTTGTTTTTTTTTTTTTTGTGGATACTTTGTACCTCCTTGCCCCCCCAAAAAGGAACTCTCTTGAATGTACCTTCTTACAACTGATTTGAAGGATTAATTTAGATAAACCTCTTAGAGTAGGTGCATTTCAATGAAATCGGGGCACATGTCTTTTTGGCTCTGGTGCAAGATTCAAACAAATTTTTTTCTTCCTCTTTGGCTCAATAAAAACCATCTTAAAACACTCCCAGTATATTGTGTGAGTGCAGGGCTTGAGGTGTGTGGATTTGAGTGGACACAGAGAAAGAACTAACATTCAGAAACATATCTGCTTCTGTCTCAATTAATAAACTCCAGAGTCTGACACATTGACTTCAGATTCTCACAGAAAAAGCAACAGTGTGTATTCCCTCTGACACCTTGGCCACCCTAGAGCAAATAAAGATGCTGCAGAGTAAAAAGGAGCTCCAGCATGCTCTGGATTTATTTGCTTTTTGGAGAAAACATGTTTCAGACTTCTCCATTATTGCTGCCTTGGTGGCATCATGCCAGATAAGAAAAGGAGTGGGATAAATAGATAATTCCTTCTTTTTAATAACGGGTCTGTAATGTGCCAGATTTCCTCTTTTTGCAGGAACCTGCCAGCAGATGAGATTAAACTGCGTGAGAGTGATAAAGCTTTCAAGTGCTGCAGTGGGCAGAAGAGATAACTGCCCCCACAACTGCTTCTGTTATCAGTTTACAAGTATGCCATGAGAAAACAAAGCAGCAACAGGACTGGAGAGTTGTACTGTTCTTTGCAGCGCTGGTTGTTTGCATGTGTTTGTGTTTTTATCTTAATAACTTTGTGATATGCACGTCTGTGTGTATTTTTGTCTCAGGAGTTTTGCAGTATGTAAAAGTTTATCACAAACATTGTGTTTGTATCTCCTCTACTCCCTAAATTGCTTGTATGATCAGCTTATTAATAATTGTTGACTTATTTGTGTTTTTATCATGAGAAGCTTACTGGAAAGATTGTGTAAGACAAGCCATTTCATGCATTGCTAGTTTAATTTTTACCAAGTTTATTTTGTCTTTTTATTGAAAACCAGGTTGTCTTGGGAGAAGCTTTTAGATATGTGTAATTCTGTCTCAATCAATTGAGAATGAAGAAACTCCACCAAATTGAGCCTGGGGGTTGGTCCAAGAATTTATGCATATTTGGAATCATACAAATACGTATTATTTGCATTAATCCTCTGCCTCGGAAGGCATCAAATTTTACATTTGGCTAAATTTCTCAAAATATTAACAAATTAAACTAAGTCTAGACAAAGGAAAGGAAAGTGTTACCTGAAGAGAATATAAGAAAACCTTTTACCAACTCCCAAGTAACTCAATGTATTTGCATATGAACTGATGTGTAATTTCAGGTCCAATTTCAAGACACATTGACCCCTCTAACAGACACATTATTATAGAATCCCTCACACCCACCACGCATTAAAGGATACCCTGATTACTCACAGGGTGGAGACAGTGGCTAATGAAAATTAGATTTGTGTCACTATTAAATCCTGATGTTTGTAACTTTGTTAATGTTAGGAAATTTGATAGTAGCTATTGAGATCCTATTATGTCCCATATGCTTACTATTTTACTATAAGGTTTGGTTTTTTCTGGGGAATTGCATTACATTGGGAAAAGATTTGTACTCTCTCTCTTCCTTTTCTTTATTCTTCTCTCTTTCTGTCCACTGTAAGAAAGGCACCAGCACCCACAAAGAAGGTTCACAGTGAATGACAAAAGAAGAGAAATTATTGAGTGCATAAATCACGGGGTGGTGTCAGAGACTGAAATAGTTCATGATTTATGCATTCTAGGATTGCCAAGGGACTTTTGCAGGCTTCTGCAGGACTTCTGCATTAGACCTCTGATGGCCCATCAAAGCCCATCCCCCCCTTGACCAATCTTGAAAGGCAGGAAAAACCCTTTTCCCAGGCCCCTCACGGGAACTCTGCGCAGGCCCAGGAGATGTTGGGGGTTCGTGGCATGGCCCGGGACACCATCCATGGATATAATAACTCATAACTTCTTGGAGTGTGGGGGCTTCCCTCCCCCACCCCCCCAATGGATCAAGGCCACCACTTCAACTCACAGACATGGAAGCTGCAACTCCCAAGTTCCATCACTGGACCCCGTGGGCAGTGACTATAGACATCTTTCCACTCTCAGCTTTGCTTTCCCTTACTTTCCCTTACCCTTATCCTGTCTTTCTTTCTCTACCTTATGCATTTTCCCTGAAGGTTATCTTTATGCCATATTGCTGTAGATGAGAGATATAGATGATAACACCCAAAATGGCAACATACCTGTTTACCTTTGAAATGAAATTGCTCTAAAATAAACCCTATATATATATGTTTTCAAACACTCGTTATTTGTGGGAGGCATGTCTAAGGGCACAGGGGATGTGCTGAGGTAACAGAGCCCAAGAGAGCATGCCCCAACATAAGTAACCTGGTTGGTTAAAGAAGTCACATGGTGTTAAGGAATAAAACCGCGCCGAGTTTGAAATAAACTCTGACCACACCACCGCATGAGGAGCATCTTATTCCTTGTCATACAAGGGCCGACGCTACAGTTATTCAGTGTCATTTCACTCTAATCCACCCCAAGGGATTTATTATTAAGAACCTGGCTTACCTTCCCCTTTCTGGGGCAATGTACCAGGGTGAATTTATGCTGATACTTTTGGTCTGTGTTTGGCCCCGCCACCTGTGAAAGTTTTGCTTTTTCCCTGCCAAGTTATGGGAAAACAAGCAATGATAAATGGGAAAGTTGTCCTTGAAGAGAGTTTCTTGTATAAACTCTTTTAATTGGTGTTGTGTGATTGGCTAATTGTCCTCCAAGGTCACTTGAAGGAGAATTTGAGGAGGAGAGGGATGAAGTAGCACCCCCAGACTCAAATAAGAAAGACCCCCAAAACATACTGCGTGTGCATGAGGGGATTTCTGAAGTTCTCAAGCGTGCGCAGAAGAGATGCACTGACATAGCCGGGAGGTGGGACTGAGGGCCTCGGGCTGGGCGGTGCTGGCCACACCTGGGAGGTTGTGGCCACTCAATTGTATAGAAAGCAGACAGCTTTTGTGAACTTAGTGACTCTCCAGAGATGCAGCTTCTGCTGTGGGTAATTACAGGCATGCTAGATCGGTAAGATAACTTTATGGGCAACAGCTGGGTAACTGGGGAGATCGTGCTGGGGGCTTATTTCTCTCCTCCTTCCTCCCTTCTGGGTTTGTTCATTTTGTTGACTTCCTCTTGGTAATAAATATTGGTTTTTGTTGAGCTTTCAACAGTGTCATGGTTTCAGCTTCAGTATGTTCTGAACCCTCCCTAATACAGATGTCATATGATGGATGCGACCTTGTAGAGGAGTTGAGATGTCACAGGGAGAATGTGATGTCACTGGAAGGATGTAATGTCACAGGGGAGGACGTGATGTCATATGATGGATACCATATCATAGAAGATGTGATGTCACAGGGGAGCTGTGATGTCACAGAGATGTGATGTCATGGGGAGCTGTGATGTCACAGGGAGGATGTGATGTCACAGGTGAGCTGTGATGTCATAGGAGAGATGTGATGTCACAGAGGAGGATGTGATGTCACAGGAAGGATGTGATATCACAGGGGAGATGTGATGTCACAGGGGAGATGTGATGTCACAGGGAGGATTTGATGTCACAGGAAGGATGTGATGTCACAGGGAGGATATGATGTCATATGATGGATGCAAGGACATAGAGGAGATGTGATGTCAAAGAGGAGGATGTGATGTCACAGGAGAGCTGTGATGTTACAGAGGAGGATGTGATGTCACAGGGGATGACCTGACGTCACAGATGCCCCTTGTCACAATGATGATGTGATGTCACAGGGCAGGTGTGATGTCAAAAAGGAGTACGTGATGTCAAAGGCATGATATATCATCACAGGAGAGATGTGATGTCATATGATGGATGTGGCTTCATATGGGAGATGTTATGTGACAGGGCTGATGTGATGTCACAGGGAAGCTGTGAAAATGCAAAAACTTCTTTCAGGCAGTCAGTTCTTCTGGGCAGGGCCGTCTGACTCTTGGTGTGTTTCCCTCCAT